GACAGTCCCTCGTCCGTGACCACAAACCACCTCACCTCTTCCGCGCCCCCAACCTGGCCGACTTCAGCAACATGGAGAGCAAGCCCTCGGCCGACCAAACTATCGAGTACTTCTCCCAGCCCGAGTTCGCCACCTCCCCTGTCGACGAGCACATCAACAACACCATCAGAGACAGCCATCACTGGTCCTCGTTCCAGCAACCCCTATATAGCCCCGTGGAATACAACACAAACCACCTCGTTCCTCAGCAACTCCTCGCTCCCCCTTCCATGGTCACTTCCGAAGCCCCCAACTCCGCTCTCCAGCCAACTCACGGCCTCCCTATTCCTGAACCACATGGCTCAAGACACCAGTCCTTCGACTACATATCGATGGACAATAACCCCTTCAATGCCGGACCAATGACACATCAACTACTACCACAAAGCAGCCAGGAATCCCGGCCCAGTTGCACGATATAAATAAACGATCAAAGAACGAACAAGCAGATGATCAACGACAGTTCAATTCTCAACCTGGTCCTCAGATAAGGCCATCCATTCCACTGCGGAAAAAAAGGGGGCACGAGGATCCAGCCCTTTAAGCCGGCCGAGATTATTATCGCATTATTTTCCTTCCGTCGCCCGGTTCACCTTTTATTGTATTTTCCCTTTTTTTCTCTTTTCTTTATTTGTCCCTATTTACTTTACTCAACTCGCCCAAGTGAGGTGTATGTATGTATGGCTTGAGCTCTCTCAGCTCGCTTTTTTCATGGTTTGCTTTGCTTTGCTTTCTTCTTGGATATCTTGACTCTCGAACTCATGAGGCTACTTAATTGATCTCGTGCGTTTAGTTTTTTTGACCATATTTTGTTTCCTCGGGGTTCTATTTTTTTTTTTTTTTTTTTTTTTCGTTTTCTGTTCCGCTTTGCTGTCTTGCGATGCATCATCATCGTCAATCATCATCGTTACACCGACGATGTCCTTGACCGACAACAAAAATTGGATTGAAAAAGGGAGGCTGGCGGATATCTACTATCTACGTTGCGTGTTCTTCTTGCAGGCGAGCTTAAAAAAGGAGGTGGCGAAAAAACGAGAAACGTTCTGGAGAGAGGGCATATACCCAGTCTTTATGCCGGAGGGTTAACTGACTACTGATTTATATGGTGTGAAAGGGAGGGAAGCAGGGAAGGGAATGGGATAGTGGGAAGTGGTTCATTATCTATCGGAGTGGTGTATTTACTGGCGGCCTGGTTTTTGATACTTTTCGACAATGCTCATCCTATTCATCAATTGATTTGGTTTATATCAATGTCTCCTGTCCCTTTTCTTTCCATTACATTGTAAAGCAGGTACCGTCTAACACGTTTCGAAGACTATGCCTTGGATATTCTCCGCCTTGTTACTCTGTACATTAGTACACTTTCCCTCGTATATTATCCATCCCACGTTAGATGGCAAAATGAAAATTTCTATCCTTGATACAAGGCTCACAGAGATACTACCAGGCGGGCGTATAGTATACACGTAATAACCAGGTCGATACCCTTGAAGTTCATGAAACAGTTCGAAGGGGATGTAAGGATGTCCGTCGATTTTCGGGCAGGTACTTGGTGCTTTTCCAAAAAAAAAAAATTTGTTTTGCATTATTGCCAACACATCGAGGCGAAAAAAAAAAAAAAAAAAATACCCCGTTGAAACAAGAGTGTCTAGAATGATAAGAGACGGAGTACTCCGAGATATGGCAGATGGCCTGAGTGTTAAGGCAAAAATAATACCCAGAACCCGATACGAACTGCCATAATGACTCTGATATTGCATATTCATTCTCATATTGACGTTGGTGGGGGCAAAAGCTGCAGCAAAAATCTGCCCAGCCGTCTCTCACCTACGTAGCAAATTCCCAGTTCTGCTGTGGGCCAGAAAAAGTCTTTGCTGCCAGGGAGTATGAGGGTATATACATATGTATACAAATCAACCCACATATCTTTCTTTTGATCAGGGTACTTGCATTATTGACGGGCATCCGTTTCCCCCCCTTTCCAACGGGGATGGCGAAAAGAGATGCGAGTCAAGAGAGGGGATAGTGGAGGAGGGGACGGGAGGGGGCGTTTGTGGCTCATTGAATGAAAGCAAGCCCTGACCTCCGGAAACTCACCGTGATGAGGAGTTTAACCGGATCAACTGAGATTGTCCACTCGGGGAAGTTTTGATATTTCCAGGTCTGTTGTTTCCACGGGCTGAGTGTGCCGCGATAGATCAAGTTTGCTGCGAGCTGCGTGTATATGTGCGTGTCAGGGATGTTGCTTTAAACTTTTATGCGCTTGCAATGGACAGCAACTTGAAGCCAGGTGAAATAAAAATATGGCTGCTGCATCTACCTATCATGAAGCCAGGTATTACTTGCATTGTTGGTGCAAGTTGAGATAAAGAAGCGGATCAAAAGCTGTGCTTTAACGAGGGAAACAGAGGATTGGTGCAGTTATGTAGTCTAGGTCAAGCCAATGAAAAGCCCAGCGTTAGCTAGCTCCCCAGAGCTGCACCAGCCTGGGTGCATCGACAGCCCGCGTGTTCCCTGGTATCTGTGTGGTACGATAGTGGTGTAACTGGAAACGCATGTAGCGGTCGTGTAGCGAGCCTCTTTCTTCCCCCGTGATGTCCCCATATCTGGAGCCAGCGATCAGGAATGGAGGGGGGGAACAAACCAGACGACTAAAAAAAAAAAAAAAAAAAAAAAAAAAAAAAAAAAAAAAAAAAAAAAAAAAAAAAGTAGACAGAGAAAGAAAGATGAGGGGGAGGAGGGGAAACTAATTGAATAAAAGGCCATAAAAAATAGGTAAAAATGTAAAGTAAATAGCTTCAGTGGCTGGGCATTTTTGCTAACCCGCCAATTATCGTGCTGGCTAGATTTTGTGGGCGTGTTGGTGACTGGGTTGATGCAGTGTCCAAATCGAGCAAGTCGAAAAGGTAGGGACAAACTCGAAGGAACCCGAGGGACTGGCGGAGATCCGGATGGGAGCCGACTATTGCAGAGAGTTCTTGCAGGGACGTCTTTTTTATCTGGGACTGAGTGACTCTATGCACATCGGAAACAAGCACGTCTTCCTTGCAGTTGTTGCAACAACTCACTGCAGGGCAGGGGAAAAACGAACAAAAACCATAGAAAGTGCATGTACAGATGAGCTCCTTTTTTGCAGAGTATCTGTAAACAGACTGACTTGAATGATATTTTGTTTTTTAGATGAAAAGAGTCCCGTTGAAAAATCGCGGGATGAGGTCGCACCGCATTCCGGCCTGTCCCATAATCAAGCCGCGATCGAAATATATAGTGTCATTTGATGGACGCGGAGACTCGGGAGAGCAGGGTTATTTAATAGGAAAACCATGGCCATGCAGTCTCGTTAGCAAGCCAGCTCTGCAGTTATCCGTAATTGCAACCTGGCGACGCATCTTCCTTGGATTGTAAGCCGTTCCTCTGCCGTTGAGGAGAGGGAATTAGGGCAAAATGAAATATGCAGATTATCGACAGCAAACGGAATAGGGGGCCCTGACGGGGCCGTGAACAAGCTGACGGCGGCTCCGCACTGTTTGTCTAGCAGCTAGCCAGCCGGATACCTGTTGGGAGGAAGTCGAGGAGGCGGACGAGGTCGAGTTGAGGTCGAGCTGCAAAAGCGCACCATGGGTGGAGCGAGCGAGCACTGGAAGTCGGCCCGAACCGACCTTTGAACCGACGAGAACGCCTCCCTCGAGCTTCGCGCCGTTGCTACACCCACAGTCCGAGTTCTCGCCCCCGACAGACGGCTTGGCTGTGTGCGCAGCGAGTCTCAGCCCCTCGCTGGGTGCGTCGGCGAGGTTGTGTCGTCCCAGAGCAAATGCCGAGCAGCGACGTTGAGGTTGACGACGACATATACAACGTGACCCGGCGGCTATTCTGGCAGGCGCTTGTCGCCCGACGACCGCAACGTCCAGCCCAGTCTGTGACTACTAAGTTACTTGACTATCCGGCTACCTACCTACGTACGTACGTACGCAGCATTCGTCTGCAACTCCACCATGCAGCATTGGACTTGCATTAAAGGCTCTCACGGCACTGCGGTGCGGTTCTCTCTCCGGCGCGCGAGTATGGACGTCACGATTTTACGCCGAACCCCTCCACTGATGCTCTGATGCGCAAGGAGGAGGAGGGAGGATCCTCGAGCTTCTCCGCGCAGAGAGACGAGACCCTTGCCTGGTTGTGTTGTCCATGGAGATGACTCTCTGGCCGCCGGCGACGGACGGAGAGGCCCCGATAAAGACCTTCCTTGATGTCGTCAGGCCTTCTTACATGCCTTTCCGTCTGGTGATCCCCAGTCGTATGGTTTTTTGTCTCTGCTATCAAGGACCCCCCCTGGACTAGTGAAGGCTACCACCAAGGTCTTCTCCTCCCATGGACCTTGTTGTCATGACGAAGTAAAGCTTAGTTGCCTGTCGCGTGCTGGGCTGGTGGACGAGGGGGACCGTCTATCACGGAAAGACACTCGTCTGAGGCGTGCAGGACAAGAGAGCAGTTTTTTCGTCAGCATATCTGCTGGTGTTATCAGATGGGACGGCCAAGGAGTGCTCTATTCGCCAGATGTCTTGTTACGCCTCACAGGCGTTGGCATTTGCACCCAAGAGGTCCAGAACAAGATACGAAAACACCTTGAGGGACAGGAAGCTCCCACTCTGAAACTCCATCATGGCCAATCACCCTCGCGGACGGAACCGGAACCCGCACCCTTGCCAAGAGCATTTCCCGGAAACGCTTCTCTGGCGACGGTGAAGCTTTTCGAACTGGACACGGAGTGGGATCGCAGGGCTCAGGGCAGAATTTTTTGCCGTCAGATGAGAGAGTTATCGCTCTGCCCTTCCGGACGCTCCCCACAAACCCCCCTCATTGCTGGCTATATATATATCCTTTCGTGGTGGCCGTTTTTGTCGCTGTTGAGTTCAGTCAGGCCAAGACTCCAGGAAAAAAGAACGACCGCCCCTTGGAACACCACGATGAATTGCCCTTCCCGTACAGACGAGGACCTAGTCCACCCGGACTGGAACCAGAATCCTCCCTTTTTACCCTCTGACTTGACTAAGAGAGAAGACCTCAATGGCCGTGTCAACGATAGGCAGCATCGGGGCGGGCGAGACTTGTCGTCTTCGTCTCTTGCCTGTCCTGGGGGAGCGTTTGAGTCGAGTGAGGTGACTGTTGACACCATGCCGTCACCAGCCAACTCCCCCTTGGCAGATGCAAAACTCGCTCGTTATCGAGAAGGTATGCTGTTCTTACCACGTATTTAGTTTAACGAAGGCTTTGTATTCTGTATATATCGTCTAATTCTGTCGACAGAATTTTGCTCTGCTACCAAGGACGCTCCGTCTAATGTCCATGGCTCACCTGCCTGGACCAATCCTATTAAGCGGTGGTTCATACTCTACCAAAGCCATCTTTGGTGGATGATGGCTACCGTTACTACTACGCTTGTAGTGTATCGCATTGCGGCCGTCTTTCGAACTCCAGGTATGTTTACTCCGCCAGTCTCTAACACAGCTGAATCCCATGCTAACAAGGTCATTATGCAGCTTCGAAACTGCCTAGGCACAAGGCGAAAAGAAGCTCGACTTGCGAAAGCGGCGGTGTAGATGGTGCAGAGTATAACTTACCCTTGCACGTTATCGCCCTTTTCATCATCTTCTTCATATCCTCGTTTGCCTGCGGCTTTCCCATGCTGGCCCTCAAGTTTCCACGACTGCACATCCCGCAGTCTTTCTTATTCGCTGTCAGGCACTTTGGAACCGGCGTTTTGATTGCCACAGCATTTGTCCATTTGCTGCCCACGGCTTTCACTTCGCTTGGAAATCCGTGCCTGTCTGGTTTCTGGACGACCGACTACCCTGCTATGCCTGGTGCTATCGCGCTTGCTGCTGTGTTCTTTGTCACAGTTATAGAAATGGTGTTCAGCCCTGCTCAGCATGTATGTAGCGGCGGCAGGGATGTAGAAAGAATCGTCTGTCGTGAGATGCCATCAAGTACTTCAAAACCCGCTGGCGATGACTCAAAAATCATGAATACCCCGGATGAACTATCTCGAAGCGTCAGTCGTCACGAAGAGGAACCCCGGGTAGTAACAGAGGCAGGGGCAGGGCGCCAGCTAAGCCAGTCGCCCTCACAGCGTGCAGCTGATGCTGAAGAAGGAGCTAGCAGCGCTTTTCTCCCAATCATCCTAAGCCCAGAACAAAAGCGCCAAAAGGCGTTCATGCAATGTATTCTTCTTGAGATCGGAATCTTGTTCCACAGCGTCTTTATTGGAATGGCATTAAGCGTTTCTACTGGGAGCACATTCATCGTCCTCCTGATTGCAATTGCCTTTCATCGTAAGTTTCCCAAACTGCTAAATTTTCGGATACGTTTTGCTCCAATATTAACCGTGGGTCTATTCAGAAAGTTTCGAGGGGCTGGCTCTCGGTTCTCGCATTGCCGCTCTGGATTGGGAACAGGGTGCTATTCAACCCTGGCTCATGGCTATGGCCTATGGCTGCACGTAAGTTGATCGTTATCTCCCTTAGAAAATGGACCTTGGTTAACGCGTCTGGACGATAGGACCCCAATCGGTCAAGCTATTGGTTTGGCTACCCATACATTGTACTCCCCTGACTCTGAAGTTGGCCTGATCATGGTTGGCACTATGAATGCCATATCTTCAGGGCTTCTCGTATATGCTTCCCTGATTGAGCTCTTAGCCGAGGATTTCCTCAGCGATGAGAGCTGGCGTATCCTTCGCGGAAAACGCCGTGTGTATGCTTGCATTCTTGTATTCCTTGGTGCGTTCGGTATGAGTTTGGTCGGAGCTTGGGCCTAAGCATCTTTCCCCGCTCCGTAGCTAGAATATAGCAATCATATCTAGACTTCCTTTCCTTGTTATAACGTTATACATTCAATCCACATGTAAATATGACTTTTCCGTCGTCCTCGTGCTACATTTCAGTGAATACTGCGGCTGTAAATTAAGCGCCATACACGTGACTTTGGCGCGCTCCTCGAGCTTTCTTAACCAACGGATTAAGACGCAAAAAGCAGCAACACCCAATAGTTACCTGCATCACCTTTCAACTGCCGCAGCCTGGAGCATCTACGGTTGCATGCTCACAGTCCTGCAAGTATTACTTTACTGAACGATCATCGCAAACCTCATTTCCCCCGTCCTTGCAAGGCACGCGAGCTCCCACACCGGCTGCCCTTTTCCTTCTAGCGGACTGAAAGCTCAAGCTCGAAATCACCTTTCCTAACTCGCGTCAAGCCTACGAGATCCGAGTACGTAACCATCACATTCTCCAAGCTCCAGCAAGCTCCTTACACACAACGCGTTCGTATGCCGCATGATTTTTTCGCCCTCAGCCTCCCGTTCGTGGCCTCCCAGCCCTAGTTCCCCGCGCGACACGGAGTCACAGCCCAAAATCGGAATATCCATAGGGAGGGATACGGGAGATGCATTCTGGAAATGGAGCTTGGAATTACCTATGCAACCCTAGAGACCACCATATGGAACCTGGATAAGTATGCGATAAGCTAATGAGTGTGTTTTTCTTTACAGATAATAATCCATTTCTTTCACATCTGGATTAGCCTTGCTTCACGGTACACTAGAGCTACCACCGCCATCCATAAACCTCATCCTGGCATGTTTGTCTAGGCATTATTTCTCCCTTTGCGCGTAAAGGGGAGGAGGCCGCTCCCAGAACGGTGTGCTAAAGATGTCCAGCTTATACAAGTCTGTTCTTACCAATTCTGCGGGCTCAAAGCGTGGGTCAGGTACACCTTTCCGCGGCCGTTCAACGAGAGGAGGGCACCGACCCCCAAATTCATCTGACTCAGGTGTACCTGCTGCTGCCGGAAATAATGCATCGAACCAAGGCCACCCTGTGAGTGCCAGAGGAGGTCGCGGCAGGGGTGCTAGTTCGTCACCATTCGGCACTTCATCACACGGAAGCCCCCAAGCTGGAGACAATAGTGGTAGAGGCGGGTTCACAGGTAACACTAATCTAGACATGCCGAATATTGGCCATACGCATTGTACTAACCTTATCTACAGGCTTTCGGAAAGGGTCTAATCCCCCTGTCGCTCAGACGAATGGCCAGCAGGCGTTCAACCCGTTTGGACCCAAATCAAATGCACCGGCTAACGCACCATCTGGCTCTGCTACTCGAGGCAGAGGAAATCATCATGCCAATTCTGGACAAACTCGTGGAGGACGTGGAGGAACTCGCGGGTTTGGAGCGATTGATCGATCCAGAGATCCAAGGCGACGCAATGATCCTACCCCTACGGTCGTCAAGCAGGCAGATAATATCGAAGACTATAACACTCGATATGAACGGGTGAGCTTTTCTTCATATACCCGCGAAATTTCCATCCAACTAATTCTTTACTGTAGCTAAAACAAGATCGCGCCCGCCAGCGCATACAAGCTATCAAAGCCGGAATTATGCCCGACCCGGATCAGCCCACTACTTTGAAGCAGGCAATCACTCCAACAGGTAACTGCACGGATATGTGTCCTGAGTTCGAACGAGTAGAAAGGATTGTCCAAAAAATGGTGGATAAATGTGAAAAGGTTCGCATATCACGTTGTCCTTTTACAGTATGGGCAGGAACTAATGATCTTAATTAGCATGTTGACCCGGACTCTGGAGTCTCTAGTAGTATGGAAGGGAGGATGATAAAACGATTCAGAAGATCAGCTGCTGGTAAGGACGAGCAGTTGCCATCAGATATCCGTACCCCTAAAACACTGCTACAAACGATCAACTATATGCTTCGCCATGTTACTACCAGTGATGAGACCCTTGGTTCGAGGCACAAATTTGTTTGGGACCGGACACGTTCAGTACGAAACGACTTATCCATCCAACAAGTTAGCCAGAAACAAGATATCGAAATTGCCGTCAAATGCTTCGAAAGGATTGCTCGTTTTCACATTTTGTCGCTCCATCTGTTATCGAGCCCAACGAACCAGGAGCAGTTCGACCATCATCAAGAGCGAGAGCAACTAAACAATACCCTTCTATCGCTGCTTTATTACTACGACGATAATCGCGGAAGACTTACATTTCCAAATGAGGCTGAGTTCAGAGCTTATTACATTTTGTTTTCCATCCACGACCAACGCCCGGATCTTGAAGCTCGAGTTCAAAAATGGCCCCGTGAACTACGGGAGTCTCCTCGGGTCCAGGTGGCCATGGAAATGTTTGCAGCTGCAGGAAATACCTGGGAGTACCAAGGCACATTAGATGCTAAACGGCCTAATCCGCTTGCTCAGGGTCTCTATTCCCGATTCTTCAAGCTTGTCAAATCGAAGAGTGTGTCTTACCTTATGGCTTGTGTGGCAGAGGTCTACTTCAACCAAGTCCGCCAAACAGCGATTAGGTCAATCTGGAAAGCGTACTGCCGACAACCTGCCTCTCAGCAGCATAAAAATCAAGAATGGACGGTCGATGAACTCACTACAGCTTTGGCTTTTGACAATGATGAGCAGACAATTGCCTTCTGCGAAGAGCAAGACCTTGAGTTCGCAACCAATAGTGAGGGCCAGCTTTATCTGAATTGGGCTAATCGTCCACTTGACTCGGTTGGTGCGTATTCAACTGCTTCGACAACAGCATTTAATATCAATTAAATTGCAATGTTGATGTGATTCTAATAATTTGCAAATAGTATTCCAACCATCTTCCCGGCAGACTTTCTCTTATCGACTTGTTGAGCAAAAACGCTGCGGAAGATCACTGGCTGCCGTCATTCTTGGAATGAGTGTTTCCCAAGCCATCAGGTACAAAATGATCGATGCCTCTCTCCTTCAAAACGAATCCTCCGTTCAATCGATGCAAGGAGACGAAGAGGGCCTTTTCGTTAGCGACGAGGAAGATAAGCCGAACCCCTTTCAAACAACGCAGCAGTCACCATTTGAAACGATTAATAAGCCAGCCGTAACATTCGGTACACCGTCACCAGCTGTTTCTACGTCACCTTTCGGTCAAAGCTCTCCATTTGGACCCCCATCTAACTCCCGGTTATCTCCCGCTGCCTCGCCCTTTGTCCCTCAAAACTCTAATCCTAAGGTATATGGGCGACCCTTGACCTTTGGTCCCTTTCTCTCTTGATTGCACACATACTGACTGCAGTCATTCTATCTAGCCAACCGTTCAGTTTGGGCAGCCAAGCCCGGCTCAAACTCCAGCCTCGTTATCTTTGTCACCAACACCTACAATACAAAATTCAAGTGAAGCTTCTGCCACAGCTACTTCTAACCCGCCTACATTCTCATCAACGTTTCCTACAGTTAACGTGTCTGGTTTTGGGTCACCGTCCTTTTCATCACCCAGTACTAATGGGGTATTCAAAGGAGAGCAAACCACTCAAGCTGCTCCAACGTTTGGTTTTGCCTCCACTGCGCCTACTGACACGGCCGAGGCAACTGAAGTGAAGCCTGCTGATCCGAAGGCACAGCAGTCTCTGTTTGGATCCGCTTCACCATTTGGTCCCCCGGCCGAAACTAAGTCTTCTGAAGTCAAACCTGTTGATTCTCCATTTGGGAAACCTCAGCAAACATCTTCGCCCTCGCAAGGTTAGCCTTTGGACTCACGCTACTTCCAACCCTATATGGATCATTTCTAACAGCATACAGATGAAACTTCAAAGAAGCCATCTCAGCCTTTATTTACTCCTTTCCCTGGGAGTGCGACCAGCCAGAAACCTCCTTTGTTTGGACAAAGTAAGTGCAATATCTCTAGTCAAGAAGCTATGTCTGCATACTAACTCAATACAGGCTCGATCTTTACGTCAGGAAAGCCAGCTCAGTCCGCGACCGAACAGCCATCAAATGAAGGCAGCACCGTCGAAACGGCCAAGGCCGCATCCCCTTTTACCATGTTCCAGCCAACTTCATCTATCGATTTGACTGGAAATCACGAGACAGTGGAACCCGCACCCCGTTCCTCGGCAAAGTTCTCTTTCACATCCTCTCCCTTTGAACTTAACGGTAATGTTGCCACTCTCCATGGGCTCTTTGAGCTACTTTTATAACTAATACCGTCACCATTCAGACTCTGAGCGAGCGGCGTCTAATGCTCAACCGTCAAACCCATTCCAATTAGAGCCAAGTACTGATATACAACCTGGCCCCTCCCTGGAACAATTGAAAGAAGCAGAAGAGGAAAAGTCAAAAGAGAGGGAAGAAGCTGAAGCTAAAAAGGCAGAAGAGGAAGAAAAGAAGAAGCGAGAAGCACTTCAGTTAGAACAAGAAAGAGAGCGTCAGAGGCTTGAGGAGGAGAAGGCTAAGAAAGAAGAATTGGAGAGACAGGAGGCTGCTGCCCGAGAGGCGGCCAGAGAGGCACTACGAAAGCAAAAGGAGGCCCAGGAAGAAGCCAGACGCCAGGCTGAGGAGAAAGAGCGGGCCGAGCGTGAGATTCAGCGTCAACGGGAGCTTGCGCGTGAACTCCAGGCAGCTCAGCGAGAAATAGCAAGGAGACAAACAGCTGAAAAGAAGGCTGCACGAAAAGAAGCTGCCAGGCGGGCCTCGATAGAAGCCGACATCATGAAACGAAAAGCCGACGCACTTATCGAGGAACTGGATGTCCACCATAAGAGAGGCTCAAAAGTAGCCAGGCTCACTCCGGAAGACGAGCTTTCGGTGGAGGAGCTTATGACTAGTAACCGACCTAGACACAAGAAGCCTCCAACATCTGCTCCCCAGCCTTCGAAACCTGCAATAGACGAAGACGAGCTCCTTCTCTCTGCAGCTAGGCTGGCTGCCCATACCTTGTCTCAGGGAGCTCGACTATGGGACGAGGTCCCAGACTTTACCCGCTCCGTTTCTTCCCCGTCTAGCTCCGTTTTCGGGAGATCAAGCATTGGATCCCAACCTAGCTTTGATGGATCCCGTGCAATCGTTAACGGGTATGACGTTGCTCTCGCCCCTTCTTCGCCGCTTGGTTTGGGCAGGACTCTCTCCAGGACAGAACAAAGAATAAGGGCCACTGGTGCCAAAGGCCTTGCAACCAAGCCAATCACACCCTCCCAAAGGGTGAAAAGGAACAGTGAGAAAGGAAAAGAACCGCAGTACTAAGTTACTTTTTTTTGACGTTGAACTTGATATCCTTGACGCTTCAGTTTGTTTTCTGCACAACCTCCAACATACATCATATTTTAGGATCTCCAGCATTCAGGCGTTCAGCATAAGGGCTACTCTACGTTTTTTTGTTGTTCTGGCGTGGTTTGTATTGGGACGAAACGGAGTTGGTTGCAAGGGTTAATTTGTCATGATTCAATTTTTTTACATTGCGTATATTATACCATTTCTACCCATTTATATCCTTTCCTTCATCAATCATACATGAAGAGTTTTAGCCTTCCACCTCACCTCGTTCATACCCAATGAGACGACCTTCACGAAGAATGTTTAAAGCTCCGTTTTGATTGCAAGAGTCAATGATCGATAGGTCAATGGCTTCCTTGTCCCTGATATGATGGCTCTAGATGTCGAGCCAGAGCAGGCCGTCCGTAGTCTTCGGGGATGCGGCAGTGTTTGCCCTTTGGTGCAGCCGTTCGGAGATGGGAAGCTCGCTGGAGCGAGTTTCATAGATATAGCCAGTCAACATGGACCGTTGGAGACTGTCTGCCTTCTCCTTGCTGAAGAAGAAATGAACATTAGCACTCTGATAACCTGCCATGTATCATGCGTTATTTCATACCTGTCGGAAGACGTTGATGGTTGCACCACGGGGTTTGACTTTTTGTCCCTGGCAGTAGTAGATTTGGTAGAGACATGGTACCGGCCATAGTGACTTGTTATGTTTTCTTGATGAAGGTAGAGGAAGATAGAATGAGGAGTACATGAGATGAGCACATGTTGGATTTCTGTCGAGGAGAGGCCTGTTTATATAGACACGATACTAGAGAGCAGATGGGTGATTGCCCAGGAGTAGATTGCAAGTAGATCGATTTGAGATGGCCTAACTATCCAAACGAGGCCTGGCTATCCTCCTCCCGTAGTTGTTTCCGATAATACTCCTACTTTCCCGGTTACCGCATTCTTCGGGGGCAATGAAAATGAACCTGTATTGTTCGCGTTTGAACATGCCAATAGCAAGGGTCGGGTGTGGCGGAAATGTCCCCGGAATTGGACCTGGAAGTCAACTTGGGATACTACCTTTGATGCCACCTTTAGGCCCTTGAAATTCTTCGATAGGGATAATCGGATCATGGGAATTTACAGGGAGGGATACTATACATTCTCTATACTCCCCGCTGATAACCACCATCGCATTGCAGAAGTTCGTCAGAGTGGGTATGGATTTATGCTTGTCGCCTGGAGTGGTCACTCTCGCTGCTGTATAAACACAGAGTGCCAAAGTGAGAAGGGTTTCAAGGTAATCACCTTTAACATACCTCGCATATGTCATAGTATATCTATTGCTAATAATCCGACAAAAGATATCAGGCCGGCGGGTGAGAGACTATTCCGGATTCCCCAGGGAGTTTTATTTCACATCTCCGGTATCCTTGCAGTCAATCACCTCAGTAGAGATACCCACATCGGGAGATTATATATATTACACTGATGGGATTAATACCCGCCACTACTCATCGCGCATCATTTTCGATGATGATCCGGTCGATGCCTCGGAGTACCATCTCGAATATCAATTTACAGGTGGACGCTTTGTCTGTGCCTCTCCAGACAACCAATATATACTAGTTTGCTTCCCAGAGCAGGACGATGGCTTATTGTCCAGCACATTACGCTTTGAAATCCTTAGAGTCGGAGAATCAAATAACAGCGTTCGCTCATTTTTATTCAGCTGCCAATATTCTGCCAAAGACAGCAGTGAACTCAATGATTTTCCGTCTTTGAGACTTCAGGGCTCTTTCCATCCGACACTTCCAATTGTTACATGGACAATCCCGGCTCTAAAGCTGGGGTTTTGGATTGCCGACCTTCGAAGTGGGAGCAGGCCGATGTTTATCAATGGTAGGCTTTTGTTTTCGCATTTTCACTAAATTAGTTAGCTGATCTAACTTTCTTCCATCAGACGTCGCCTTTGCGGCTGAAAAAGCATCATTTTCAGAATGCGGCCGCTATCTGCTGATAATATACGACGAGACTGATTGTGAGCGAAGTTCTCTATACTCCAGCGAGCCAACGATGGGGTTTTTGTCCTCGATTTCAAGGAAGAAATAAAGTGCAGGTATCTATGGAGCCCCGAAGTAATGCGCTACTGGGGAGCCTACGCGTTTTGCCATAATGATGAGATTTACGTCGTCGGATTTAACAGCGACAATTATCTCATTTGCCTAAGGCTACTTGTATCTGCTGACGGGAACCCTCAACAGCAAAATATCACGGCGTTTCCACGCTCATTTTCTCACATTTGCATCGTAGAGCGGGCCAGCTTTTTACAGACCACTCAGTTGCACGTCATAGTCACAGAAACAGTGGAAGAAGGAAGCATAGCATCTATGTCAAGTGCTCTGACATCAACATCTCACTTCCACGGTGCCTGTGGCGGTTTTAATATCCCGCAGGCTGCTGTCGTCACGGCTCCCTATAATGTTTGGATAAATATTAAGTTTAGGACCAGTAGGGCCTGGCAATACGGGGGTCCCATCATAGAAACAGACGGACCGCTGTGTCGTCTCCGGGTTCCGCACAAATCGAATCCGCAGACCAACAAAATAGTATGGATGCTGAAGCCTTCGTCGAATAGCGCTGTAGTCCAAAGTTGGAAGCTGATGGATGGCGAACAGCAAGTACTCCTAGAAAGGGAATACTGTGACATATAGATGGTGACTATGTGGTATCCGAAGTAGCATTATATAGTTAAAGCACTTGGTTTCTTAAGAAGCTTGCGGGGGCAGTATATATTCAGGCAACCAAATAGCTACAATTAATGGTTCGTTGTTGATAAACAGAGAGAATTAACCACCAGGAGGCGAAGACCGCCTAGCGGGTCAAGGGAACGTGACTAATCAAATATCTATCACCCAGGGCTCTCTTCCGTTGCCAGATTTGCAGATAAGTGAGTTTTCACGGAGCATGAATGCATAAATCTGCTATTTGATTATTTGATATCGACTAGACCACTGTTGCCCTTCATATTAGTTGAGATTTTGCTACAATAGTTCCTGGTGCTACTTTTGTTGTTTGGTGGCAATGAGGATCGCGACCTTCCAGCTACGCTCACGACTCGCAGATGTCGAGGGGAATATCCGAAAAGCCGATGCACTGGTTGGAAAGCTGGACAGGATACTTCAAGGCAATGGCAAGAGGAAAAATCTAGATCTACTTGTTCTACCTGAGATGGCATTCAGTGGTGAGTGAGTGATGCACGCTGCAATTCGTGGGTCTGATACCCGATTATCAAATGACTATGCTCATGCCCTAGCTATAAGGATATAACTTTCCATCCCTGAAGGCTGTACGACCGTATCTTGAGCCATCAGAGGCCGGACCATCGGCTCGCTGGGCGCGTACGGTTGCTCAAAAGTTAGGTTCCGTGGTAGCCGTGGGATATCCAGAGATCTGCCCTTCGACGCTGCAAGATAACCTATCTCTGCAAGCCAGAACAGGGGAAGATGTGCAGGGCGAGCGCCGATTCAATTCGCTTATCGTTGTCAAAGAATCTGGCGAGACGTTGGTGAACTATAGAAAACACCATCTTTACTACACTGATGATCCGTGGGCTCACGAAGGAGAGTCCCATGAAAGCGGATTCTTCTTAATGCCCCTGTCTACTCCTACCAAGCGACAAAGTATACCCAAAGATGACAGTGGTGATGCTAGTGTTAGTTCCTCTCCAAAGAACGAAATACCGACCACTGTAGGAATATGCATGGACATCAACCCGTATAAATTCATTGCCTCCTATAGCGCCTGTGAATTTGCAACGCATGCTCGAACAAGCGGAGCTAAGCTAGTGGTTCTATCCATGGCATGGCTGACACTATTAAGCTCCGAAGAACTATCTACGATGGCCGACAAACCTGACATGGATACGTTCCAGTACTGGATATCCCGGTTTGCGCCTCTTTTCTTGCCTGATGAAGGGGGTGTGGAGGACTCATCTGATGAAATGGCTGAGCCCCAGGTCATAATCGTGTTTGCCAACCGGGCTGGGGAAGAAGAGGGACAGGAAGGCAAGGATACTGCGAGGTATGCTGGGTCAAGTTGTGTGGTTGGCATCCGACGCTGCCCACGCAAAGTGGGGGACGAGGAGGATGGGAATAGAGTCGAGATACTGATATGGGATATGCTTGGGGCCACAGAAGAGGGTATCTGCCTGGTTGACACCGACTCAACGCCCAGAATGGTCGGATCTGTGAAGATATGATATATAACTTGTTTGTGTGGTAGGAGAGTATATTTAGAAGTAAGCCTGCCAACAGCAGCGCAACAACAACGACAACCACCACGGCCAACTAAGCCCATCCGTATCACATTTTAGACACAACCGCCCAAGAGAGGTTAATGTGTCTGGTCTGGCGAAGCATCCCTTTTGCCCCTGGTCTTCGAGAGTCCTTCGAGGCTCTCGTCTGCTCCATCTTGATATCACCTGAGCCCATGTGAGCCCATGTGACTGAGGCGTGACGGTTCCAGTTAACTTAGGGCTTCAACCTCCCACGTAAAAAAAAAAACAACTTCATCTCTTTTTCTTCTTCTTCATCTCCTGTGAACATCTGAAGGGGGCCCATCTTGCAGGGCTGTTCATGCAGGATAAACCAGTTGGATGTGGATGAGATGTGGAGAGCAGAATAAAGAACGGCCAGTCAAAGGACCTTGACCAGCAAAGATGGCGGATCCTGAGATGAGGCCGCCGGTGGTGAAGACGATAGTAGCAGGTAAGTTGGCTCGTCTCGGATGTTATTATTATTATTATTATTATTCCTACTACAACTCGCTGTCCGAGAACTTATTGTTCATGTACAGAGTAACTAGAGTGACAGGCCGGAAAAAAAAAGCAACTTTAGTTAGCCGGTGTCAACTTTCTACCACATGTATTGAGTGTGGCCGGTGGTTAGACGCTGCTGGCAAGTCGACGGGTTTAGTTGGCGGCTGGTGGTACGGTGACCAGGGGAATGACAACACCTATCCGGTCATCTAGCCATCTATTCGACCGGTCAAATGGAACAGCTTGCCAGACAAACAAGAGAGCATGTCTATCTCTCACAATGCGCACCTTTCCCGTCTGTACTAGGGCTGTGGTCTGGTTTTGAGTCGTCTCTCGTTCTTTGGGGAGAGAAGAAGAGAAAAAAGCAAACATCGTCCGGGTAAGGATGACTGTGAACTCGCGCTACCAACCATACCAGTGGGTACCCTGTCATGAGCAGGTGATGCGAGGGCTATGGAGTGAGAGAGCTCTTCGTCTCACCACCTTTGCGTGCCTGTTGACGGGGATTTTTTTGGCTGTCCGAATACGCGGCCATGAACACTGCTGCCCTCCTTTCTCCTATTTGAGAAACCTGAGTTTCTTCCTGGACCGGGTCAGACCAGTCACCTGAATAACGAATGCCGAACAGGAATGATAAGGATATTCCTCCTCTTATCTTCCCCGTACCCCATCCATGCAAGGTCAAGCAAAGGGCAACAAAAGGTAATTAATTATCCATGGGGAGATCTGGGGCGGATCAATAGCCTTTGGATATTCCTGCAGGCAGGAAGCGCAGAACAGACGATAATAATAAATGGCGACCGTTGCAACCGAGAACAGACGGATGGGCGGCCTCATAACTGCCCGAGCTAAGCTTGCGGTTGACAAACAGCAAACAAAACGAACCGGTTGGCCAACATGTCTCAGCAGCAGGACCTTGATTTCCCCGAGATGTGCTTTTTCTCCAGTTTCTCCAGTTGGGATGCATGCCTGACTAAGTGGCGGGAGGCTCAGTCTTTTCGAGAACCGAGCAAGGTTCTGCGGCAAGAGGACCATGCGCCGGGTGGGCAGCCCTCCTCTGTCCTATCGACGCATCCAGCGCGACGTCGGCAAAGATCCATGGCCCTTGGTCCTTGATCCCTGGTGGAGGTGTGTGAGTGTGTGAGTGTGTGAGTGTGGGTGATAACAAACTCATGGCCCGTCGAAGCCCATCTCCCGTGCACACCACTATGGGGACACCGGCGAGCAGCGGGCCAGCCAATAGGAAGCGAGAGCCCGGCCGTGGAGCCTGATTCGTCAGCGGCGAGCAAGGCACGGGACCTGGGCACATGACCGGCGGAGGGAGATCCAGAGGGCGAGTCGAGCGCCGGCGGAGGGACGAGGGCAGCGAGGTCGAGGAGAGGCCGGAGGGCAGAGAGGAATAAGGGCCGGGCAGCAGGACGGCCGCAGGATGGGAGGCAAAGGCCTGGGATGAGAGATAACTAGCTAACCACCACCGTCACCATCACCGTCACCGTCAACATCACCATCTCGACCGGCGGACTGCCATCTCTGCTGCTCCGGATCACAGTCTGCGGCCTCTCAGTCTGACAGCAGATGCACAGAGTCATCCTTCACCATCAACTACTCCGACGACAACTACCAGCATCGCCCGCCGTGTTCTTGTCCTGTCCTGTCCTGGCCTGTCCTCCTGTGCTTGTCCTGCTATCAAACTGCGCAAGTGGCGTGTGCAGCGTGCCCTAGCCTCGCCACGTGAGTTTTCCCTTCGCTCTCTCTCTCTCTCTTACTCTCACTCTCTCTCCGTCCGCTTCTCGCTATAACTGCAATTCAGCATCGCCTTTCCAGCTTCTCGCTGTCCCACCACCGTCGCCGGCCTCTGCTCAGCATCCCGCTGCGTCTTTCCAGACATCCGTCAGGTCTGTCTCTTCGGCCTCCCGTCCCCTTGCTGCTCCCGGCACTCGTCGCGATCTATATATCGCAAGCCCTCGAACAGGTGACTTCTCGTCACCTGATAGATCATCAAGGTATGCAAGGCCATTTCATCATCAGCGTCTACTCCGGCTTCCTCTGCTTCATCTTTGGGCTATCGCGAGCTGCATAAACAGCCCTAGCTGCTTGGATCTGTCTGCATCTCTTGTCGCTTTCTCTTCTTGCTGCTGGCTTTTTTCATCGCGTTTCTCTCACTCTCTTCTGCTCTGGACAAACATCGCCTTAAAAAACCCCGCTCTGTACTGTTGCTTGTCTTGTTATTCTTTGCTCTAGAGTCGCGTCTCAGCGCGATATCATCCTCCTACAAGCTGTTTCTCTGTTCTCCTGCGCGCTTGTTTGCTCAAATAATGATCTTGTCTACTCTTATCTCGCTCTCGCTGCGTGCTGTGGCTGCTGGTTTGCCTGGCAAAACTCCTTCCCCGACGCGACAAGCGCTGTTATTCCATATCTTTGCCTTACTAGGATTGCTATGAATATATTAACTACAAAGCCAGCTTGCTATCTTCTGTTTTATCGCTGTGGACTATTATAATATTCACTAACATGGACTTGACGCGATCAGAATCTTCGCTTTTCTCCAGAAATAAAAGAAAAGAAGTGAGACAGGATGTCAGAGCCTTCTATGAACACTATGGAACACGGCTCTACCGATCCTAACATCTCCTCTGGCAAACGCAAGCGAGAAGTCATGGATACTGGTGATGTCCAGCGTCTTCGCTCTGCACATGGTGGCCCAAATAACTTCGACGTCAACATCCAGGCCACCGATAACTACGGCTACGATGCTCATGGCATGCCTAGCAACACCACCGACCTGAGCCACATCGACCAGCAACTGCTCCAGGCCGTCGGTAACCAGAATGGTGTGTCTGACGACAATGCTATGACTGCTAAAGCAGCACTCGCCGCTCACCAGCCCGAGTCCAAGTACCCGCCTCCCGAGCCGTCCTTTGACAACAACGGCCTCGGGAACAACCTCTCCTTCGGCCAGGATGTCGGCCAGGTTTCCATGGGACCCGTCCAGAGCCACACCTCTACCGCTGCCGCAGTGTATGCTGCTCGAGAAGCTCAGGCTCAGGCCGCCCAGCAAATCAGTCCCAAGCCAACTGTCGGATCCGCCGAGTGGCACCAGGTTCGAAAGAACAACCACAAAGAAGGTGGGTTTTTTTTTTTTTTTTCCATTATCCTCTCACTTGTTACTTAATGTCTTTACTAACGTGCATTCAGTCGAGCGCCGTCGCCGTGAGACCATCAACGAAGGTATCAATGAGATCGCCAAAATGGTTCCTGGCTGCGAGAAGGCCAAGGGTTCGATCCTCCAGCGCGCCATCCAGTACATTGCCAAGCTACAGGAAGATTCCAAGGAAATGGCCGCTCGGTTCGACACTACCAACATGACCACAAACCAGGCCATCACTGAGATCAGCGCTCAGAACGCCAAGCTCAAGAACGAAGTCAACCTTCGCAGCGACATTGCTTCAAAATGGATCCAGCGTTGTCGTGATGCTGGCCTCAGCTTCGACGACTATGATGATGAAAAGAGCCTGACCAAGCTTCCTGTCGATGAGTCTCACAATATTTAAACTTAACTGCCACGACGTTCATGATACCTCTTCGCTTCTTTCTCATTAGTCCTACTACATGTATCTCACTTTGCCCTGTGTTTTCGTTTTCTTTTCATTACTACAGAGTCGAAGCCCCAGACAGTAGTCACAGCTCACAGTCTCACTTCTTCTCTGTTTATTTTCTTATCACTTTAGTTTTCTTTTCATGTTCTTTCTTACTCGGCGTACATGGATCATTATATCTCTTTATTATTCATCCATTTCTTCCACCACACGGCCACACCGGGCCCAACCTCGCATTCCTCAGAAAAAAAAAAATAATGAAATGGGCGGATGCCTCGCTTACCTTGTCTGCCTGCCTGAATAAATGCTTTACGGGGTGCTCGCTCGTTCTATTCTAAGGGTTAAGGGAGGGAAAAAAACGTTCCATTGGTTTTTGGAACCGCATGGGACATACGGAGCACGACGGAGCAGATGATGGTTATCAGGCCTTGTCCATATGTTTCATCCTTACTTCTTTACATTATTTCGTGTTCTCTAATGAATTCTCTTTTCTCTTTTCTCTCTTTCTCATGGAGTCGCTGGCTTGGGGCTGATGGGACGTCAGTATGTCTCTTATCCATCCTCGTGAAGCAGTTGTGATGCAAGGAGGATCTCAGCCTGTCTGTCCATCACAGTATATATAGCACATGTTATCCATCCATATAATCCCCTCCTCTCTCTCTCTCTCTCTCTCTTGCGCCTCTCATGCATCATAACCCTCGTCCTTACACATTATATGCTATATCAACAACCTTCGATCTGATCCGCGCGCGCTGTGAGTACGTGGCTGACTAAGCAGTCTCGAACTTCTTCCATCTCGACTTCGACTTCAAACAACTTCAAAACACGAAATCATAGTCAAACAACATTCGTATCTCCATCATCCCTCTCATTGCCCTCTGTTCTGGCCATTGATGCCCATATTACCTGATTTCCCAGCACCGGGATACCTCTTTCTATATCGCTCCCAATAAGTTCTGAGCCGACTTGTTGACGACACGAAATATGCTATCGGCGGGCCGTACCATGCAAAGGCCCTGTATACGCCAGGGGTACTCCGTATTGAGCAATGAGACACCTGCTGCGTAAATGGGGTCTTATTACACTAGATTCTCATGTAGCATTTCAGCAGGCACCAGGATTGACTTCTGCGACGTCTTTTTATTTATTTATTTATTTTCTCCTAAGAGGGGAACAAGCCTAAGGACCAGCTCAATTCCAATCTCTATACCCAATATCTCTTGAACCAGGAAACTTGTGAGGTCATGCCCTTTTGGCAGTATCTAAAAATAAAGTGATTTGTCAAATGCCGACCTCTTTTTACCCCCACACCATATTCCATCCTTCCAGCTATCCATCCTTCTTACCGCATACGCCTCGTCAAATTATTCGATGAGTTCGGGGATCAAATCCAGTATCATGCCTTGTTATCCATGCGCCTTAACCCATCCTAACCTATGGAGTAGCGTATAGGAATCTTCAACATCCGCCGTGGGGAGTTCAAAGAAGTCCATGCATCCCCTTCTCATTCACATATTTGACGAAGGCCGCACTTGATGTGGATTGTTAGTCTCACCTGGAACACAACTGGGGGCCAAGGAGCCTATCTTACCCGTCGTCCGTCATCCACTCATTATTGAAATTATGCTCTGTTTTCAGTATGTGCCATAATGGTATATGTTCGACATCATACTTGATATCTTCGCCAGCCTGTGCATTGTGACACTGACGTCCACACTTCCACTTCTGCCCGTAATGTGAAAATATTTCACGTGGGCAGACGTAGGTTTTCTTTTCTTTGGTAGCAGCTCGCACAATGGACATAGCCCTGGAACTTCCATCTCCCATTACGGCCATTGTCTCCCCTTCGACTTCCCCTTCGACTTCCTTCACGGAGGTATGCCAGGTTACACATTTGTGATAACATTGGTCCTTGAGCCAAGTAACTAGACGGTGACACTGGAAGTATATTGCCTCCTCCAGGATACTCGTGTACAGGTGATAGTTGTGTCCTTTTGCTGCATCAAATGCCAGTGGGAAGACTCCTCGTCGAAGATACCGAATGACATGTTCAAACGCCTCGCCGTCAGCGTCGATAAAGATGGACCCGTCTTCCATGGTTGGAATTGTCCATTTCCCTGAGAAGTAGGCCTTGAAGTAGTCGCTTCTCTCAGTCAAGGTCTCAGCAGTTGTGTGAAATGTTCGTTCGCCAACACGGAGCATCACAACTTTGGGAGTGTTTGTGACGCTCATGGTGTCGGCTAGGAGGAGCGCGTATCGGGTCTGCTAGTTGGCGCCAACACTTGGTTATGCAGGCTATTCTGGACCTGTGTCGTGATGGGTAAGATTGTCTGCAAATCAACTATCTTGATATGTCCATGGAATCTGGTCGCGTGGGGCTAATTATAGAGAAATTTCAAAAGCAACTAACTAGTTACACAAAGTAGCTAGTTAAGTATCCTAACCCATGCGGCTTTGAACCAGCACTGGTGGGGGAAACGTCTAGTTTCTTCTCTTTGTGAAGACTTAAAGCTGTTCATATATCCTAGGCTTATTGCGATCATGCTTGGGCGGCTCGAAATGGGTGTGGGTAAATGCATTGACGTCTATGGTAGACTTTCTATAAAGTCTTTGGCGAAAAGAAACATTTCAATACTATGAACATAAGTGGCAAGATTCAGGCGCGATTTGATTTAGATAAGCTCAAGAAGATGATCAAAGAGGTAATCTCCAGCAAGGGGATACCTAAGGATGAATTGCTTGATAGCGGTGAAAAGCGAGGATGCCACGTGTACGTGATTCCATACAACATCTATACAATGGGGAGCCCTACTCTAACCATATCTCAACTTTATATGTGCTGTTGATTGCATAACGAAGGGTATCCGGAGTTACAAGCTTATTGACAAATCGAATGTCCCAGCTACTATATGTCAAGCAGCTCTCGCAACTTCGACGGCGACAACGTTCTTCAATTAAGTCACTAAAGGTTTCTCGGATGAAACTTGGATGGTCTGCCAATTTCTTTTCTAGTGTAGTATGCTCCTGTTCTCACAGTCCATGGACGTTGAAGCTGATAGGCTGGCCACCTCATTATTTGATAGGCTGGAGCTTGACCAAAGAGCCCTCAGAAGATGTGTCTGCCTCTCTATGCCCTAGCTGCAGAAAGGCAGCTTGGTTTTGGGAGATACGAAGAACCTCTAGAGCAGTGCAAACGTATACTCTATGTTAACTCAAGAATCAAGGACCCTGACCATCCAGGACAACTGAACAACTGAAGTCTCAAGCAGGGCTTGCTTCACCCTACCTACTGATCGGTAAGACTAAAATGGCAATCCTGATACCGCGCTGAGAACCCAGTCGAAGGGAGTAAAGAGCCGGATGAAACCTTTCTGCTCGGCCTTGCTACAGCTATTTCGGAGGATAAGCAATATGACAAAGCAATTCTGATATATAAGGATGTTTTAGAGATGTTATCTAGAGCAGAATCCACGGACAACCCCGTATTTCTATTGCGGGTACAGTCCCATTTTGCGAATTATTATATACTCAATAACCAACTAGAAGAAGCTCAACCCCCTCGAGAATGCTGTGCGGCGCAACGGAATCTTGCCAGAAGGAAACCTCGACCTGTTATACTCACAGGAAGTGCTTGCTAGAGCCTATCTCGCCAGCAAGGAAACGCATAAGGGCATAGATCTTCTCTAGCGTATTGCCAGCATGCTCAAGAACACGACGTTATTGCATGTAGTCGTTCCTGACCTTACTCTTTGCGAAGCCTACCGACGCAATGGTCAAACCGAGCGGAAAATGCAACTGCTTGAGGAGCTTGTCGTCCGAGAAAGGAATTGCCAGTGGATAACATTTATCGAATAAGGTCGGAGATTCGACCCCGCATGGCCTATAAGGAATATGGCTGGCCCGAAGAGCCGCTGCCATTGCTCAAGGAGGCTGTCACAATCCTTTACCGTTGCGCGGCAGAAGGTAATCCTGATCGAGAGCTCACACAGCAGGTGCCTGTCGAGCTAACTGGCTAAAGTGACCAACCTGCGAGCACACCGATCTTAATAAATCATGGCTCGACTAAATATGGTATCTTGTCGCTCTATATCTGACAATTAGGTGAGCACACCGACTTATCGTTTCAGTGCATTTTTCTCTTGTCGCCCCGAGGAAGTTAAGGATGATCGTCGTTGATTATTTGTTATGCTTTTTTATTATACTTTTTTATGCATAACTTCCTAATTAGCGAGTTGATTGGTTCAAAAACTTAATTTCTATTGGACAGGCGGTCAGCAAATTTCCTTGAAATATTATTGGTCAATTTAGTTATTACGTAATGAGCTAAGTTACCTAATAGGCCAAGGCGTCCGCTTGTGTCTGTATCTCTAAACACAGATCTAAATAGGCGCTTTCGTGGCTGCTTGACCAGTTGATGCTGCTTGTAGATACTCTATAGTAAACTAGAGCTTCTTAAGCCGAAAGCGAGAGCACAAACAAAAATAACAAGCGCGAACATCGCAAACCTCCCACATGTTATCCATCCGCGAATCATTTGGAGCCCTTTGCCTGGCTTCCTGATACCAACACTCTCGAGGATCTGCTCACAGACTATCTTACTTCCTGCCAAACAAACTGGGACCCCAGTACCGGGGTGTGTACTGGCACCAACGAAGTAGAGTCCCTTGATGGTGTCGTGTTTGGTCTTCGGGCGGAAGCTCAGTACATTGAAGAAAGAGTGAGAAAGCCCCAGGATGGCCCCCTGGTGGAGATTGAACTTCTCCTTCCAGGTGAATGGTGTATTGACTTGCTCTGAGATGATACAATCACGCAGGCCTCGAGCACCCGTGCGAGATTCGATAGTGTCAATGACTCTCTCTCGGGTTTTAGACACAACAGAATCCATGTCGTCAGCCCAGGCGCTGTTGTCAACCAAATGACCCACTGGGACAAGTGCCACTGCAGCGTCCTTGCCCTGTGGTGCTGCACTTGGGTCAACACGACTGGGAACATTCACGTAAAATGATGGATCGGCTGGTATTGTGTGGTCGTTGAAAATCGAGTCAAAGCTTTCCCGGTACTCGTCTGCCAAAAAGATGTTATGTGGCTGCAGTTCTGGAATGACGCGATCGAAGGACCAAAAGAACGAAATAGTACTGCATGACGAAGGTCGCGTTTTCAAGTCGTTAGCCAGAGGAGAGATTGGCAGGAGCTCGTTATATGCGTAGACGAGATCGGCATTGATAACAATCGTATCTGCAGTCAAAGTCTTGCCGGACCCTAGTTTCACTCCAACTGCTGTGTGCCCGTCTTTGGAAAGCTGGATTGATGATACAGGCTGGTTGAGGAGATACTTCACTCCCAAGCGCTTCCCGATATTCGCCAATGCCTCTAGGACCTATTCACGTTATTAGTTAGGAAGTGAGTTTATGGAATATAGGAATGCGAAATCTGGGTGGCTTACTCCTTGGAACCCACCAGCTGGATACCAGATACCATCAGCAAGCTCGGAGTACTGGAGCAACGAATATGTGGCCGGGGCATCGAAGGGGCTCATCCCAAGATACATGCTTGCAAAAGTGAAAACTCGTCTCATCTTTTCCGAAGCGAAATATCTGCTCGCCCGGCTGTATATGCTCTCAAATGGATGCAGTGGCAGGGTAGAGAACAGGAACTCAGCCCGAAGCATGCTGAAGAGGCTTGTGAAGTTTTTCTTCATGACATAGGCCATGGACAGGTCGTGGTGCTGGCCAGACTCTTTCATGTACGACAAGTACTGGTCAAACCCTGCGTCACCTTCATAGCGCTCTATTTCTAGTTTCATTTTGGCCAAATCCGTTGACATGTCAACTCGGTCATGGTCCCCAAACCAGATCCGATAGTTGGGCTCGCACTTGAGCAATTGAATTCCTTCATCCTGCATTGAAGTACCGAGGTCTTTGAAGATATCCACGAAGAGCCTCGGGAGCAAAAGGAGAGACGGTCCTTGATCAAATCTCTGGTAGCTTTTGTCAGTTCTTTCATTCAGGTATCTTCGAAGCAGTAACGTACATAGCCATTCTCCTGGATAAGCGAGCATCGACCGCCAATGAATCCGTTCTTCTCCACCACAGTCACTTTGAAGCCTTCTTTTGCCAGGCGAGCAGCCGTGGCCACCCCACCGGCACCAGCCCCTGGTTATACGAGTGTCAGTAAATACGGTGAATGTCCCAGAGAATATGTGACAGCTTCCTTACCAACGATAATCGCAGTTCGTTTCTTCATTTCCAGGGTCTCTCTGAATACTCTGGTCACACGTTAAGGAAGATGATCTCCCCAACTGCCATTCCGTACCGTCCGGGCTCTAAATAGTTGCCTGACCTTGCACCTTGCTTTTCCTGCTAGGCAAAGTATTGCAGATGTCGACCCATGGCAGCCGGATAACCAGAGGGCAGTAGCGTCTGGTCATACCCACCACCCACATCCACCACTGGACACGCTGGTCCTTTTTTTTCCCAACATGTATAAGAGCACCTTGACAGCACCGGTGCCCGAGGAGGGCAGACAAACAAGTTATCAAACAGGGCTATTTCAGTAATCTTTGGCCGGTGAGGGCCTATGTGGCCACAGCAGGGGTCGGCTTTCCTTTTCTTGTGGCACTTTGTCAGGCTGGAGGGCCCTTAAGCCGACGAGCCCACTCCGAGAGCAGACCAGGATGGAATCAAGGGTGATGGTGGCTGACGGAAATGCAACAAGTCAGCGGAACCGGATGGAATCGAGAAGTAGTTTACGGTATGGCAAAGGGAAATCAAGATTTTGGATCCGTGGTTGACTACCATGGCTAGAAGGCAGTCGCTAGGGATATATGCCAGCCCCTACGTCTAGCCTGCCCGAAGAAATGTACTTCAGACCTATCTGCGCCAGACTCACCGCACTAAATGGATAACGAGAAGCAGAAGAATGCCTCAGGAGCGAAGGCTCCTAGCATACCTATGTACGTGGGATTTTGAACACCCTCCCCCTATCTACTATCTAGTAGCCCTTGTTTACCAGATAGCTATCAGGTACACACATGGCAATTTTGCGCCGATGCACAATACTTGCCCACCTACACCTTGCCGTTATACCGGTGATATTCCGGAAGAGTTCAATGGTGGACAGTACGTTCGCAATGGGGGGAACCCATCGATGAACCATGAGTATGGGAGGGATGTCCACTGGTTTGACGGTGATGGGATGCTCAGCGGTGTCTTCTTTAGAAAGGTTAAGGGCAAGGCAGTTCAGCCGGAATTCGTCAATAATTACGTTTTGACGGAT